GTCCATCTCAGACTCGACCTCAAACTCCATTTCAAGTCCATCTCAGACTCGACCTCGAACTCCATCTCAAGTCCATCTTGAACTCCATCTCGGGTCCATCTCGGACTCCATTTTGGGTCCATCTCAGACTCCATCTTAGGTCTATCTCAGGTGTATATCAGACCCCATTTCAAACTCCATCTTGGACTCCATCTCGGATTCCTTCTCAAACTCCTTCTCAGACTCCTTTTTGGACTCGTTCCTGATACTTCCATGTGTCATGACACTTGCCATGTGTCAATCCTTCTTGTGTCCCTTTTCAAAGACTCATTCACTAATTACTTCATGCTCATTCCTCGAGCACTTTGTTTTGACTTTCACTCTCACTCTTGACTTTTCAAATCAGAGCTTTTGGTCCTAACATATTATGTTTGTTGGACTTTCACTTTGAGCACTACCATGTGGCACCCTTTCTGCTCCACATTGTGGCTTAAGGATTTGTATCTCACAATTGTGGCTTTCAGCTTCTATTCATAAGGGTGTGAACTTGAAGGGAAGCGTGGTGGATTGTAAACAACCAAAGAAAATGACTTGAGTGATGATCTATAAAGGTTTAAATATAGACGGAAAGGGCCCATAAATAAGAGTGCACCCTTTTTTCCAATCAATTAAAGGTGTTAGAATATTTATGGTTAATGTCTTTGGGATTGAATAATACTAGGCTGGATAACCTCTTAGAAAGTCTAAATTCATGAGCTTACAGTTGTATATACCTCATGAAGTATAACATCTAATTAGGGTTGTTGGGAGAATGAAGGAAATATAACTAGTTGTGTGAAAAAGAACTACTGCTAGAAGAAATGCATTCTTCAAGTGGTCTTTAGTTAGGATGTTCTAGCTTAGGACATCACTAGCAATGTTTGGAAGAAGATCTAGTATGTTGAAGAGCATGAAGTTTGTGCTCTTGAGCAGTTTTTTATGGATCTTCTAACAAAAGCACTCCCACGTTTGCCAGATAGCCATATTCTTAGTATCCACCTTGAAAGATGTCATCAATGAATTAGAAGAGCCAATAAAGAGTTTGACTTTGCCACAAAATACCTTTGAAGAAACAGGGTGAATTAGGGGGAGAAGAGGAAAGTAAGATGTGAAATTAAGTAAAATTTACATACTTTCATGTAGCATTTGTTCCTCCAAGTCCTCTTCTCAGGTATCAAGACAAGCTGGAATGCAATTACCCCTAACAATTCTTGCTATAACTAAGAATAGAAAACATTAAAAGAAATATCCCTCAATTATAGACACATTTTGCACAATCATCATCATTGTTGATTAATTCCTCTATATGGAGATTTGCATGCCTTCGTCATGGTGGAACTTCTTGCATGTCCTAGTTCTCTCATCTTGAAGGACACTTCTCCTCCCATTATGGAAGAATTTCTTATAAGTCCTTCTCACTACCATTTTCACTCTCCTCACCATCAACATTGATAGTATTGATATTCTCATAGCCGCCATCTTCGTTATTCAGCATGTCTTCGTCATTGCCTCTTGCAGCCTCTTGGTGGGCTAATGCATAGTCTAGGATCTCTAATTCCCAAGGGCAAGCTAACTTTATTATCTCTAGAAACTTCATTGTTGTTGAGTATATAGCTTCATTTCTTACACTATGCCTCAGGAGTTGATTATATATTGGTGTTTCAAGAGGAATGCCTCTATAGTATAGATACTTGCAATACAATATATTCAAATTGAGTAAAGTTGAGAAATTGTAAATTATTTGAAAGCTACTCTCTCATGAAGTAAAGTTGGCAAAACTGTTTATCAAATAGAGTCATGCTTGTGGCCTTCTTTGGCAGCCAGCCATCTCTGAGTTTTGTAAGCTTAGTGGTGACAAAATCCTTGTATGGAAGCTACTCAGAATCATCCCCTATTAAAGGCACCAAATTTTCATATATAGTTTGTGAAATATAAACATTCCTTCTCATCACATTCTCTATCATATTATCTAAACCACTGCCGGATCAGACACAATATCCCTTTTGGGCGGGGTGGGCCTATTCGGATACCCGACCCTCTGTTGCTGCCACCCCCGCACCGGCAGCATCGGGTGTCCCATTTTTCTTCTTCCCTAAGCATGCTATTGAGGTCATTTAGAATGTGTATTTACTCCTTATATATAAACTTTAACTTTGAGATGTTGTAAATAGTTTAATCTAGTCTTGCATACTAGGAGACAACCTTTATGAGTAACCTTTAAGTAAACATGCACAATACTTACTTTTATGACATGCAATCTCTATTATGATATTAACCACTCTTTTTGCTATTGAGATCAGCTATGCTAAATAATTTTTTTACCTTTGTCTTCTTTGTGATATTGATTTTCTTGTCAATTATGGCTAAATTCCTAGAAAGCTCTTTATTATTTTCAACCAATGAAACTATGCATATGTGCCTTGCCTAATCTTCACCAACAGCTAAAGACAATGCAAACATTCAATAACAGGGAAGAGGTAGATTAAGAAGAACATACCTTACTTCACACTACTATAATAAAAGCCATTGGATTTTTATACCATCTATTAGCATCTTGATAACTTTGTTGATGTTGAATAAGTGATGCCAAATCATCACCATAATGGCTACGAACTGCATCCTCATCTAGATTGGTGCGAAGCTGCATTTACTCAATATCATACATTAGGCTTTGCTTCTGCACTATAAACTATTTTAGCCTACAAAAAATAAATTGTCAAAATTGATTGAAGAGGGATATGTAAGTACATTAATTTTGTGGCAAGCTATAACAATGTTGCAAATATAACCATAGATATTCAAAGTTACTTGTCAGCTAGTCCTTTTGGATATTCTTTCCTTACTACCACGATAGTAAAATATCAGTATTACTAGTCTCTTTTTCAATCTCCATCTAAGTTAGTTGAGAAATTAGTCCTTGCATGTGCACTTGACTAGATGAGCATAAGGATGAAATTTCTAAGTGTTATTAGTCAAACATACTTGACCTAGTTAAAAAAACTTATTTGTTAATTTGTATTTGCTAATGTTAGGAACTGTTGCAATATTGAGCTTGGTCCCTCAATATTAGCCAAATAATAAATTACCATCTCTACCAAACACTCTCGCTATCATGCATCTTGTGTTAGTTCCGTTCAGTCCCAATTGCTATTTATGGAATGTGTCTAAATTTGCTAATTTAGCATATCTATTGAATATAAAGATTGTTTTGAACACAATAGTTTTGGTCCCGTGTCTAAATTAGTGGGTAGATCGGGCATAGCCGACCAACTTGAGGTATAGTCTAACTCCCACTTATATATTTGTCCTTGTTCTGCATCTAGCTTGGGTCTAAGCCCAAGTTTTACACCATGTTAGCTAGTGGAGTACCTATATCCTTGCATTAAACCACTGGTATGCTAAAATAACACTAGACTCTATTTGGCTTTGTTTTACATGTTGGTCCTGGCATTGGGATGCTGGATGCTCTAAGACTATTCCAAGTCACTCTGTGCTCTTGTCCCTTTACTCCTTGGGTTGTACACTCAGAAGTCACTTTTTCACTCCTTGGCTCCATGCTTAGGAGTCTGGCTCTGTTCCTTCATTCAGTAGCTCAAACCGTTGAAACTTGGGTTCTACTCCACTGTCCCTGGACACATGGCATGTGGCACTTGGCATATGAAAGGTTTAAGTTCTACTTCATGGTTATCCTATAATAAATCACCATAGGTTAAAGGGTGAAAACCACATACACTACAAACAACCCTTGAGAGGGTGTTTGTCATTTCTGACTTGAAGATTGAAACATATACCTATATGTGTCCCAAAGCCATTTTATTTGTAAATGTCCATGTTGACAAAGTGAGGTGAAGTAGTCCGAATGATGCTTATTTGAGTGAATTGACATAGTGGAATTTCTTGAATCATGTCTTCTAGGCCTTCCCACTTGATTGATTTTAAAATCATGTGAATAACCTTCTCTCTAGTTCTCAAAACTATCTCCTAAAAGTGTTTATCCATCATATGTTCAAGCAACTCCACTTCTCTTTTAGCTTCAGGTACACCTCCGATAGCATCAATGTCAGACCTAGCCCCCATTAGGCATCTTGGGGCCAACACCCCCCAGATGTAGCAAGTTTAACTCCCACATAAACTTTATTCCCGCATAAACTCCCGCGGATATGTATTTAGCAAGTTTAACTTGCTAAATAAACTCGCATAAACTCCCACATAAAAGTATTTAGCAAGTTTAACTCCTGCTTATATATTTGTCCTTGTTTAGCAAGGTAGCAAGTTTATGCCATATCTAGAAGCTATGGTGTTGGATTGGAGTCTTTTGGTAGCATTATGGGTGGTGGTGGCAGTACTAGTGTCAGCAATGGTGGTGATGGCACTAGTGACAGTGATGACAGTGGTGGTAATGGTGGCAATGGCAGTGATGGTGGTGGTGGTGGTGATGTTGGTGATGATGGTAATGTGGGCTGTGTTTGTCTCAACTCTACCATTAACCAACTTGATAGTAAGATCATTGTATAGTTAAATTGGACTTATCAAATACAACATTAGTTGCATTATTGATGTTATTGGGCTTGGTAAAAAAAAAAGAACTTCCACAATACACTTAAGAACAAGAGGCACCAATGCACATCAGGTAAATTCTTTATTTTTGAAATGATTATGTTCGCAAATGTTTATACCCAGGCCCCAGCTGGGGCACACTATGTTTTAAGCCAGCTGGATCAGCTGGATCAGGAAATTCTTTGATTTACAGTTTCTGTTGCAAGAGGTGCTGGATGCACAGATTCCTTGCAAATCAGTGGCACCTGCAAGGTGGGAGTGAGATTGTGGGGAGTGGAAGAGAAGATGAGCAGAGTGGGGCATGCAGACGGGCTTCTTTAGTAAGAGGGTGATGTGAAGTTTAGCACGTTACTGACGGGGCACAAAGCCAATGCGTGAATGTCATGCATTCAATGTTTGATAGGGACAGTTTGACTAGCTATGATTTATGAAGTTTCACTTACTGATCTTGGAAAGCTGATTGATGGGCCATCTGGTGCGTACCTTGGATCATAGGTTCCAGGACCAGGTGTGGGACTGCTGGCCTTATAAGGCAGCTTTGGGTATATGCTGCAAGATGGAGTGCTTTGTCTACTATTTACAACGTAAGCTCCTGGCCCTGGTGTTTCATCCACTTGCCTATCTGTGAGCCTCTCTCTTATAGTGAAGCTTAAAGATAGAGTTTCTCCCTTGGGCGAATATGCACCAGGGCCTGGGAGCAGATCTGGAGCTTTGTCCTTGAGCTGTCCATACATAGTAAAGGACGGCGTTGATGGTTTTTGTTCAGTCATATATGCTCCTGGTCCGGGTGAGTCACTGTCTGGCGGTGGACTGAACCGAAAGGGCATGGTCAACGCCGGTCCGTCGAGGCTGGATGGTGAAGAATATGTTCCAGGGCCCGGTGTCTTCTCCACAAGAGTTTCACGGAACTTTCCTCCTAGAGTGAATGCTGGTGGTGATGGGCTACGAAGCTCTTCTTTGGGGTGGTACGCTCCCGGCCCAGGAACATCGCCATCAAAATTTGCTGTCTCACGAGGCTTGCGCCTGATGGTGAAGGAGATTCCTCGTTCGGATGTGATCGGGTACGTGCCAGGTCCAGGATTGGCTGATAGTGCAGGTGCCCTGCTTCCCAGCTTACCAGCGAGTGAGAACGCCAACAAGCCCTTCCTTTCAGCCGGCGAGTAGGCTCCAGGGCCAGGAGTGTCGCTAACTTTGTAATCCTGCACTCTGGTGCCAAATTTATAAGCTGGAGCTTCTGACCAGGCGGTAGCGACCGCATCCGTGTAGTCACCTGGTCCAGGTGTTTCCTGCGCAAACTGGTTATCCCCAGTACGGATGCCAAATGTGATCATGGGCCCCACTGCTGCCGGAGCGCTGTAGTGTGCGCCAGGACCAGGTGTGTCGAGCGCGTTTGGTCTCTCTATACGGACTGCCATGCTGTACTTTGGACCGTCGTCATCTTGCTTTGGGCTGTAGGCTGCAGGGCCTGGCGATCGGTTTGCCTCCTTGCTGGTAAACTTGGTAGCCATAGTGAATCCCGGTGCATCGTGGAGCGGCTCAGGGCTGTAATGTCCTGGCCCTGGACCATCGCTACCCTTTTGTGGACCAGACCGCGCTGTCTCAGTTATCAGCACATTCTTGCAAGTCTCATATACAGGGTTGGGATTGTACGCCGCAGGACCGGGGCTCTCTTCCATCTTGCATGATGGCAAGCTTCCACCCAATAAGTAGGCTGGCGCCGCTGGCGAGCAGAGACGCGTACCAGAACCAATAATGTAGGAACCTGGGCCGGGAGTTGGATCTAAGGGCCGTGGCTCCACTCGTGAAGCCATGGTGTAGTGAGGACCATCTGTGGTGGTTGTTTCCAGATAAGCACCAGGCCCTGGCGTTTCTTCAGGCTTTGGATCCAGTATTTTCTTTCCAATGGCATATGAAGGACTGTTGCTCCTCCTGTTTGCTTCATAGGCTCCAGGGCCAGGCGACTTGTCAGGTTCCGGGTGCCGTAACTTTGCGCCCAGTGAAAAGGCGACCCCCGTGTGCTCGGGTAGTGGATATGAGCCAGGCCCGGGAGTCTTATCCAAGAGTGGTGTCCTGGGACGAGCTTGCATACTGAAGCTTTGAAGGTCCTTGCCGACGTTCCCTTTGTTCACCGTGTATGATCCTGGCCCTGGGTTATTAGCATCCCCAAGGTGGGTGGCAGCTTGCCTCGACGGCATTGTGTAAGCCGGTCCTTCCCGCTTGTGCTCAATGCGGTAAGCTCCGGGCCCCGGGGTCACAAACAGTTCTGGAGCAGGAACAGCTCGACCACTCAACGAAAAAGCTGGCGCATTCGATTGCAAAATGAGTGCATAGGCTCCGGGTCCGGGTATTGATGCGTTATCTGAGTCAGGCAAGTCATATCTGCCCCGGATGCTCGCGGTGGGCCCCTGCCTTGGTCCGGTTGTCTCGTAATCACCAGGACCGGGAGTTTCCTGGTCATGCGGCGGGCTGAGTTTGTTGCCAATAGTGACACCAGGTTGCTGTCCGATTGCTTGATAGGCAGCCGGATAGGAACCAGGGCCTGGGGTTGGGTCTGCCGCAACGTAGGTTCCTTTGTTGCTGATGGAGTAGTGAGGTCCAGATGGGGTACATTTGATGTTGTAATGGCCGGGACCAGGTTGTACTGGTGTATTTGTCTCTTCAACTTTTGCTCCCATCGTAAATGATGGTGACGAAGCCTTTGGCCAAACTGAGTAGGCACCAGGGCCTGGCGTTGAGCCAGTGAGCTTAGGCTCCTGGCGCTTAGAGCCAATGATAATGCTACATGGCGGTGATGAGAGCCTGGAATCGGACGTCTGATAGTGACCTGGGCCAGGCATGTTCTCTGGCTTGAGAGGTGCCTGAATTTTCTTGCCAAAGGAGAACACTGGCGACATGGGCTTGTTGGTCGTAACTGTGTAGCTTCCGGGCCCTGGGTTGCCTTGAGTAGGATCTGGAATGCACGACAACTTGCCAAAAATTGTGTAGGCTGGTCCATTGGTGACACTGTCCTGGTGATAAGCTCCAGGTCCTGGCAAGCTCTTGCCGTCCAACCTGTTGACAATTGATGACCTGTCTCCCATTGTGTAGGATGCAGAGGAGGAAAATGACTTCACTTCATATGCACCGGGTCCAGGGAACTGGTTTCCCGCTGGCCTGTTGGTGAGGCCACCCAGGGTGTAGGATGGGCCAGTTGTTGTATAATTTGATGACCTTGCGGATGGAGTTGCAGAATGATACGATACGCCCAGTAACTTCGTGGACCTCTGTTTGGTGATTATTTTGAAAGCAGGGCCTGTGGCGTCGATTTTATAGTACCCTGGTCCAGGAGTCATTAAAGTGTTTTTCACTGGTTGCAGCTTCGGTCCAATGGAACAGGAGAGCTGTGAAGCAGCTGCAGCTTTAGTGCTGGGGTTATAATGTCCGGGGCCGGAGGCCAAAGGAGCGGGGTCCCTGCGTGCTGACAATCTCAAGTCAGGAGCCCTTCCTTTCTCTGAGGAAGGACACTGGTCTTGTGAAGGGATTGAGCGTGCAGTGCTGGCTCTAGATACTGGTGCAGACGCAACTGATGCACCACCCCGAAGTTGTGATGGCTTTTGCCCCAGCTCTACTGTGTAACTGGCGGCTTCCAGGTTATTGTCAAGGTGCCAAACTACGGGGAGTTCAAGGGAGCTGTTCTTGCCAGAGTTGTGAGACCAGCCAGCAAATTGAGATTCAGGGCTGGAAGAACTTCTGCTAATGTTGCCATCGTTGCCGTTCTTTAACTTGTGGCCATGCTTTTGTGGATCCAGCTTTATTGTTGCAACTTGAATATCTCTCTGGGAATGGTGACGAGAACCTGGGTTTTTCGATGATCGGTTGGTGCTGCAAGTGCATGAATAGTCCAGTGTTTCTGGATTGGGACTGCTGCTCTTTGTCTGTTTGCTGCTAAAGACGGTCCCTCTTGTGGAAGTAGTGTCGAGAGGAACACGGTAGGTTCCTGGCCCGGGAGTGATAGACGTCTTTTTATACACCTTCTTCCCCATTGTGAAGGCCATGCTCGTCGATTGTGACCTTGGAGAGTATTCTGCTGGACCAGGGGTGGGTTTTGTCGTTGGCTCGAATCTTGATCCAAAAGAGAAGCATGGCGATGCGACCCGTCCGACAACGCCGAATGGGGAGAGATCGTAAGAGCCAGGCCCGGGTGTTTGGCTGGGTTTGGCGGGAATCCGTGCATGGATTCTGAATGCCGGTCCGTCCTGGCGCTTGTGGACGTGATAGGATCCTGGGCCTGGCGATTTCTCGCTGGACTCCTTAATCTGTAACTTGCTGCCGAATGTGTAGCCCGGCTCAATCTTTCGCCTTGGAGAAACGCGTGGACTGGAACATGATTGGCCATCGGGCTTCTTCATTCTAGTATGCGCCTTCTGAAGACCTGCACACCATGCGATGGATTAGAATGTCAGTGCGGTGCAACGGTCATACACACCGTTTTGAGGATTGCAAGTGCGATGAGGAGTGCTTACTAAATTCCTGGGTTTTGAGAGTGCAAGAGATGCTAGTGATTCCACGTGGGACGAGGAGTTTATATATATACAATTCTATTTTTGTATCTTTCACAAATTTCAGATCAATATTTTCTAGTTTCCGTGTTATCTTCTAAATTCCTTTCATAGATCTGTGATCATGCAGAGGCAGCTCTCCGGACAAAGGGAATTAGATTCTCGTTCAGCATACCTGTTCAGTTTTAAGCACAAACAACCACTATAATCTATAGACAACACAAAAAAGATCACATTAATCTTAAGACTGGAGATTACCTTCTTACATTAACCAAGTATCTGAGAGAACTATTTAAATTTTAGTCCTTTAATGCATATCTTTATTTATCAGCCAAGCGCATATACTGTTGTTTGACGTCATCAGACTTTTGGATATGGCAGTTGCCAAGCCGCCAGGGTTCTACGGATCTCAACGTGAGGGTAAGGTGCGTACCTCCATTGCTCGACTAGCTCACTCTTCAACAACTTACTCCGAGTCATGCAACAACTGATGGGACTAATCACCTCGTGGAGATTTGCAACATTGGTTTGTTTCTTGTTCTTATTTCTTCCCTTGGCATTGAATTTAGTTAGAAGACCAGAGATAACCAGTTCTCTTCTATCGATAGCTGATGGGGGACCCATCCGGCCATCAAAGCAGCTACATCTATTTCGATTCGGATAGCTCCACACTGCGAGCAGATTCATTCTCAGATGGAATTCTTAGGTGCAAGGGATGTAACTATATTCTCAGCGCAGAGCACGTCACGGCATGCAGGTACTGCATGGGTGACTTGAACACAAAAAACAAGAAGCTCAGGAGTACACTTCATGAATTGGAGGAAGAACTGCTAAGGCTGCAGCGAGATCTCAGTTTTCTCAGAACATGGGATGAGGAGCTCACCAATAGCACATCAGGAACTGGTGACATAACTCTGAAGACTAGAGATGGCAACTTTTTTAAGGCACATCAGCTTATTTTGGTATATCTTCCCATTTCAGTGGCAGACAGCTAAATGATTACCTTGTCAACAGGCAAGCCGGTCTCCAGTCTTCAAGAGACTCTTAGACGAAAGGCGTGAGGTAGACAAAGGGGTGCTCACAGTCCACGACATGAATCCAGACATATTTGCTCCGTTTTTGGACTTCCTCTATACGGCTCAGGTTAGCAACAAAGTGCTGGAAAAGAATGCGTCAGACTTGCTAGCTGCAGCTCATATGTACAGCATTCCCTCGCTGAAGTCAATATGCGAAGGCTTCATATGCCAGCAGATGAGTCGAGATAACGCTGTTGCAATGGTAGAGTTGGCCTGCAAGTATGACGCGGTAAGCATTCGAGAGGCAGCCTATGATGCGGTGACTATGACTTACAGAGACATTCTTGCCTGTCCAAATTTCAAGAAACTTTTGGAAAGAGAACCCCGAATTGCGGCCGATATGCTTAAGGAAATACTTCTCCGGACAACAGCTTAAAACAGACAGTAGAGCATATTAATGTATATATGTGAATTAAGTAAATACAGAAGCAAACATTATGCGACGTGCATTTTTCTTTGCATTGAGGTGGTAGTTATATGATGTCTTTTGGCGCCAAAGTTAAAACCCAAACTCTAGGTTGGCACGACGTAGCTGCTAAAGATGAGCAAGGGAGCATCCGCGGCTGGAAAAGGACCAATAATATCCAAAGGAACTCCTGCGCCACCTCGTTCAAAGGATGGCAAGGTGTAGACGCCAATGAATTTTGTCAACGTGCTCATTCCCTCGTACAGGACCCTCCATTGCCTGCGTTTCCTATCACCTGGACTTCAATGGGGATGTGTGTTGAATGTGTGGAGCCCTATCTCAACGTCACTAAACTGATAGAGTTAGTAAACGCTGCAACACTTCCAGATTTGAGTGTCACACTCGTTGACGCTCAGGAAATGGCCGAAGAGGTAATTCTATATGTATCGGCCCTAGACCCAAACATAAGTGCAGGAAATGTATGTCGAAGATTCTCAACTTGGAGCGGCTTTAAAGGAAGCCAAAAAGGTGGGATTTATTGCACCGCAGCGTTCGATAAACGTCGCTTTGCAGGATTTTACTGATAAAAAGAAAGAACCTTTGAAGGAGAACTGGGTCCCTCCAGAATCACTCTCACAACTTCTAGCTGGTAGTCTACATAATACAGTGATTTGAAAATTTTCAAGTTTTTCTGTTCAGTAAGGTCAAAATTGGACAATGACTATGAGCACAGACAAGAAGAAATCAGAAGAGACACTGCATTGTCAAAAGCAAAGAAGGCTTTTGAAGTACTCTTTCTTGCCAACATTTAGTTCATTGTTTATTTTTCTTTCAGGACGCCAAATTAGCTGTAGAAGATGCCGAAACTCATTTAGCAGCCTCAAAAAGTGCAGTCAAAGACTGTATAGAGAAAGAAAGGTTGCGAATTAAAGCTGAAAAAGAAATGAAAGATGCGGGGAAAGAAGCATCACCTGAACCGAAAACCAAAGCGCCTCTCACCAAAGGTAGGTTTTCATAGTTATACAAAGCCATAACATTCTATATAGGCAAGGACGCTAAATACAAAGAATCGGTGGCTCCTATCCTGGACTTCAAAACCGAGCTTCTGAGATTAAGACAAGTGGTTGCTGACGCAGAGAAAAATCTTCAGGAATTACAACAAAAAGTGAGCTATTAAAAAAGTCACTACTTCCAAAAACATGCTTATTTCTCAGGTAATAGAATGTCAATCAACGGAGGCTACAACAGAGTCATCTTTACTGTCTCCATACGTCACAGGACGATTATATTGGTGCCTTATTAACGCAGCAAGCTCGGAATATCTTGCCAGCGTGGCTGCAGCGGAAAAGCCCATGTTTGGTGCTCTTTTCTATATTGCTCCAAGATATATATTGCCACCTCAAGAAGAGCTGTCTATCCTACCATTGCTGGATACTACACCTGTGCTAGTTTCCGATCTTAGGAAGCTCAGAGAAATATCTCAGCTATTCGAACCAGCGAGAAAGGTTGCCATTGTCGATGTACGCTATGATAAAGTGTCTGCTGCTCCAGTGGAGTCCTCTTCGGATCAGAAGAAGGCCAAGGACAAAAAGACCGATAAAAGAGGATTAGTTGATGACACCTCTGTTCCGTACGACACTATTGCAACAGCTTTATCTGCAGCATTTAAAAGTTTTCTTATTCAAGTCCGAGACTTTCAAGAAATTCGGAAGCATGCTGTCGATGTTAGCGTTCCAGATGCGGTGTCAACCAAGGTTGAGAAACTGATCGTCTTAATACTTCTAATCCTACAAGTAAATGCAGGAATTGGACATGTCACATTATAAAAAGCTTATATCATTCGTTCCAGAAGCCATGGTTAGCGTTTCTATAATCTTACACTGCATGCTCGAGCAAATCAGTGAAATGCTACTAGCCAAATTGGAAATTAAAAGCACATTTTGCAGAAGCACAGGGGAGGTGATTAGAGAAAGCTTTAATAGGACGGGTCATTCTGGCAAAGAGGATTGTCCAGTCACGTGTTCGAGTTGTTGTCAGTGTTATAGATGCCTAATAACAAAAGAAGGTCCGGATCCGCTTATAGTAGTGAATGAGGGCGACAAAGTGGGCCTTCTTACTGCCACAATGCTTAAAAGCAAGCTTGAATCAACGACAAAATGGTCTGCCGCCGCTGCACTTGATATTGTAGAAATCGAAAACCAGATGATACGTCTCCTTCCAACTCCAGGTTTGTTTGTTCTTTTTGCGCACCCCTATAATAATGTCAAATTCTGATTATAGGACTTAACAGAAGGGGAATGCCTACTAAGGCAGGGCTAGGGAAGGAAAGGAAAGGAGCGTTTGCAACTGCTCTTAATTCATCAAGCCATGGATTCTTTTCAAAAACTGAACGTTTCAGAAAATTGGTAGCTTTATTCAAATAACTTTTCAAAAATTAAGAATTTATGTTTTTTTAGAACTTGTTTTCATCGATGTTTCCTGCGGAGGATATTGATGCAAATAGTATTATTAACCGTTATCAGATAGAGAGATTACCTGACACGGTACTTGGTCAAGTTTTCTCAAACGCGAGACTATCTTTACCGTTTCAAGTGATGCGGTACGACCAAGATGATGATTGTGTCCTGTCAGCTTTATATGTCAAAGAAGGAAAGCACTTGTGGAAGCACCAAATTAATTGCCAGGCATGTTCATCCTCAAAGCTTATCCTTGTTGCTTCTATTAATTGCTACCTGCAATTCAGGTTCCGTTTGGTGATTTCTGCACAGCCGAATGGGCATCTGAGTTGCCAAGGTCTTATCATCTAGCATATGAGGTTGAGCGAAGCAAGACCTTGGTTCTTGACGAAACTGTGCTATTATTTACAAAGAACGATGGCCTTGTTCGATGTGGTCTTTCATCTGCATACTCAGTGCGAAGAGCTCCTCAAACAACCGTTTACAAGGTTTACAAATAGATAATTCATCCTTTAGTTATTATTGTGCCTTCTACAGGATAGTAACATGTATTTACTTCGCGAGTGTGGGCAAGGCAACTGTTTCATTGCGTGCTTAAAGGACGGTGTTATTGTATATTTTTTTTTGGGTGCAGATGGTACACCGAGGCTGCAAATAAAAGTTCCCACTGGTCAGACTTACGAAATTTCGTCCGGAGTGGTGTGTATGTTGCCTGATACATTCACTGGGGAATGCTTCCAAGCTGATGAGATTATTTCAAGGCAGTCACCGGCTTCAAACGATCTACTTACCAGCACAACTAACATGGTAAATATTATTAAAAAAGAACAAGGCTTATTAGAACATTGGAGATGCGTCTTACCATCCGGAACAGCAGTCCGATACATGCAGAATGGAGATTCTCAGGTATCTTTCATGTACATAAAAAATCCCTAACTTAAATTTGCAGCTTTATTTCGCCAATGGCAATGTCAGTAAGTGGCACCTAGATGATGAGGGCGACAGCAGCTGGGAAACGACTAATAACATGGGAGAAACAAATATTAAAGTATGTAATATTTTGAATTGCAAGCTTCATTCAAGTATGGTTGCTTTCAGTTTAATCGCAAAGACAAACCAGTAGTCGTGAAGGAAGAACGACCACCAGAACCACCTGGAAAAAGCAAAAACAAAAAAGCTCCAGAGGCTGTAAAGGTTGAGGAACCAGCAGTTGTGGAGCCGCCAAAACCTCTGTTCCTTTCCCTTCCTACGAAGAAAGTTGTGAAAGTTTCAGATCCAGATACCGGGGCCTCCGTAACAACTAGGGAAGATCTAGTTGTCATAGTTAACTCCCATGAGAACCAAACACGGCTGGTTCAACATGCCGATGGAACAGAGATTTTCAGCACTGTTACAGTTCAGAAGATTCAACGCCTTGATCCTGCTATTAGGGTTGAACCAGCTGCTAAGGATGAAACAGATGGCAAGGTCGGTGCTAACAGAGCGGTGGGTTTAGAAGTCGGAAAGTTTCCAACGCCTTCAGAAGAGACCACAACATTTCAGGATACGTCTGAAGTAAGAAATCCTGCCACAGAAGACGTTGTTAGAACTGTTGCATGGTGTGTCAAGAAAGAAGGATATGCGACTGTTCGTGGATCGGACACAGAAGTGAAAGTGGAATTTGGTTTATTTGGAGGGCGCTATACGGCACAGTGGTCCAAATCTGACCAACAGCTATCCCTTATTCTACCCTGTAGAAGTGTGCTGTTTCTCAGGGAAAGCACCGTGGGGTTTATTCCCTCAGATATTTCAGACCCCGACGACCTAAGGGTCGAGATTTCAACTGGGTCAGATGCCAATCACGCAGCTTCAGAAGTGGAAGACTGGGAATCAAGGAATTTCCATCTCGGAGAGACGCCATCTCGTGATGCTGCGAGCCCTTCCATCAACACCAATGGGAAGTATATCTACAATCTGGTAAGTGCATGGTTGTTAACTTCTTTATTTATTATTTCCTTCCCTTGCAGCTCAAAGGATCACTATGTCATACGGATTGTCATGGAAATGGATTTTTAATTCACGATGGACTGAAAGTTGATCGCATTGCTGCTGGCTTGTATACAGAGCCAAAAGACTCAATGACAGTTGTAAACAATACGGCCCTTGCATCTGTCAATGAACGTGGGTATTCTGCTGGTAGGGACATTGAAGCGGTAAAAGTGGGAATCGACAATAATGACGGTGTAGACAAAGAACAAACAATCGCATTCCCTGAAAGAAACAACGAAGCAAATCATATGGTCTTGACACCCTTTCCAGAAGAAAATGGTAAGAAGAATTACAAGAGCATCTACAAAGGGCCTTCCATTCGGTTGTTTGGTTTCTACGAGGGTGGACATGGATTTGAAGTTCTAGACGAAAATGACGTTAACAAGTACATGAACTTTAAGAAGTTTGCTGGATGTCACTATGCATCAAATAAAATCAAAGCAGATGCTGAGGATGCCCGTTTCCACATGTTCGTCACAGTGCCTC